AGCAGGGCTGGGACAGGAGACCAAGTCTTCTGACTTCCAGCCCTGGCCCTGTCGCAACTTATGAAGCCGCAGGTGAACATCTTTTCTCCATTCTGCAAAGGACCTTGGAGATGGAGGAATTCATTCCTCTCGGTCCCTGTGCAGCACCCCCTCTTTTGAAGGGCCCTCCACAATTCCCTTCCTGAGGCTTAGGGGAAAAGAAGGAAAATGGAAGAGCCACTTGACTCTAAAACAAGGCTGTGGTTTAAGGCAGACTTGAGGATGGCCACAGGCCTGCACAGCCAAGCCTGGAGGCCAGCAGGGAGGAAGCGGTCTGCCTTCATCTCATTTCCTGCCTGGTACCGTCTTCCAAGCCCCAGGGTCCCACCTCCAGGCTTTTACTCTCACCGTTTCCTTCTCCTGGGTTGCCCTTTCCAACATCCTTGCAGGTCCCGTATCCCATCCCTGTTTTCAAAGCCCAGCTGGAATGCACCACATTCTCTGACTTCCCATCACCGTCACCGCCCAGAAGTGACCTCTTGATCTGGCCCTGGAACCAGCAAGCCTTCCTTTATCATTCCACTCCGAACCCTCTTACTCTCTACCTTATATGTCAGGGATTTGCTTTCATGTCTGTTTCCCTCACAGGCCGGGAGCCCCTTAGGAGGCTGACCTCTGAGGTGTTTTCGATGCGCGAGGTATGGCGGGAGTGAAGGCTGGCCAATTCTTTCCATTTACTCGAGAGCACTCCAAGACTGGGTCTCTAACCATGGCCTCCCCTCCTTCTCCAGGACCTATCGCCAGCTGCCTCTTACACTCTGGAGTCGTGGAGAGTGAGAACCAAGCCGTTCCAATATTTCTGCAGCATCTGTCATAAGTGGGAACTTTGAAAAATAGTGTGGAAAATAAGCAACCCACAGACATTCACCAAGTTCAACTGCGGTTCAGCACTGAATGAGGTGCTGGACAAGGGATGGGGGGACAAGACACCCAGAGGAAGGGTCCTGCCCTCAGGGGTTCTACCAGAGGACAGAGCAGGGACCTTCCCACTTGGTTCACTCTGGATCCCCGGCACCTAAAATCGCGTTGGGGATGTGGTAGGAACGCACCAGCCCCCTCCAAAGAAATGAATGAACATTCGTTGACCCAGCAGCACTGAGCACACCATATAAGGCCGGGGGTTGCTGAACGCTAAGCTGGTCTGTGTGGTGAGTCAGAGCTGCAGAATCCACAGGCAAGAGACACTGAGAGAGAGTGAGAGAGAGAGAGACTGGGAAGGGCAAGGAGGTTTGTGGTTGACCGAAATCAAGCAAAGGAGGGCACATAAAAAGCACTTGGCCACGGCTGCCTGGAAGGCAGCATCGTATGCTGTGGTTTTAGATCTTTTTCCTGCAGAACACTCTTTTTTCTAATGAAATCATACACCACACCCTAAATGCATAACAGAGCAGCAACGGTGGATGTCAGCTGTTGCCGAGAGGACCGCCTGCTCTCCTGTACCCTGGAACCCCACAGAGGCCCCTGGGCTTCCCAGAGATGGGGCTCCTGCTGGGTCAGAGGCTGCCTCCTTCTCCCGCCCCCCCCCCAACCCCTACGCCCCCAGTCACATTGGAGTGGCCGCCGCTGAGGGGAGGGCTGCGGTTGCTTGTTTGGGAAGGAAGCCTTCCGAGGCTGGGGTCTTCTGGGAACCCATTTTGGGCAAATACCCGCTAAGAGCAGCTTAAGAAACTTGCCCCAGCCACAAGGAAGTGGGGGGAGAAAGGAAAATGTCTTCCCAGCAAGTGGAGGGGAACCCAAGGAAGCCAAATGTGAGGTTGTTGAAATGCGGGGGTCTGCTAGGGAGTACAGGGACTCCGTGTGGGAAGGACTTTCGGGGACAGTCCTTCCTGAAGGTGAAGGGTCACCTGCAGATACACGGTGTGTGTGAGTGCGTGAGTACGTGTGAGCGCGTGAATGTGAGTGTGCGCACACAGATCGGGCTTTCAGATACCAGATCCACAGAGCCCGAAGTACACCTGTCACAGAAAGGCCACCCTGGTGCTTCGAGCTACAGGAAGGACCCGTTCGCTCCACGTCTCCCGCCGCCTGTCATGACACCAACAGGGTCATCTGTTGTTTTCTCTGCCTAGCGTTTCTTCTTCCGTCAGGAAATAGCACCCGGGTTTTCCCTTTGGGGTTCCTGTCCTCTGCCAATGTCAGTCCAATTCTTTGCCCCTCACCCCCAACAGCACACACTGCCCTACCACTGCCCATTCCTGACCCAGTCCGGCCAATCAGGGCATTCTCTCCTCTTCGTTTCACTAATTGGTCAGAAATGGTCACGTGACTGGAGACCAGCCAATAAGCTTCAACTCTGGAACTTTTTTTTTGGAGCTCCTGGGAAAAAGAAGCTCTCCTTTCACAGGTTTGGAAATGAGCGGCCTGTGCATCTGGAGCTGTTGGTCACTGCCCCACCACACCCGTGGGGTGTGCATTCCCCAGGATGGAAAACCCCCAGGAGGGAAGCAGAGGACACAGACAGGGGCACCATTTCAGCCTTGGATTCAAGTCTGCCTTGAACACCAAATTATCAATATATTGGAAACCAATAAAAAGCAAATAATTTGCTTGTCTTGCTTCATCAGGTTGAAGTTGAGGATTGGTTCCCAACTAAGGTGGCATCTGACCTCAGTCTGGCATTTCTCCCCTGCATTTTTGGTCCTTCCGTGGTTCTTGATGATCTGGGTGGCAGCTCCAGCCTTCCGCAGTTGAGCCTGGGGGTCCTCAGACTCAAGGACTGGCCAGAGGCCAGTAGTCTGGCAGGACTCGCCTGCATCCCAGCCTTCCTGGCCGCCTGGCCCCCTCTGAGGGTTATATTTTGGCTCATCTAACTTTGGCTCAAGTCCACTCACTTTGTCCCCAGCCGTCATTGCTCTCCCTCATTGACCTTGGGCTTGGGTAGGGATCACTGACACTAAACAATGAATAAGAGCTCTGGAAAGCAGCCACTCCTGACCATGGGGCAGGAAGAATCACCCCAGGGCTTTGGTCCATAGTCCCAGGGAGACGGCCACAGGCAGAAGCTGGGGGGTGGGGGGAGGGCAGTGGGTGGCAGGAGAGTATTGGACTCAAATGTCAAACAGGCTGGGGAAAGTTCCAGAATCTTTTATCTGCCTTACCACTTTGGGCAAGCTGTCCCTCCAAATTTTATAATCCCCAACTCTAAAACGGGGTCATGCCACAACACATTTGACAAAAGGACCCAGATGCACAAAACTGACAGCAGCGACTGCTGATGGGAATGTGGAGCGACAGGAACTCTAATTCACTGTTGTGGGAACGCAAAACGGTGCAGCCATTTTGGAAGGCAATTTGGCAGTGTCTTAAAAAGCCAAATATATTCTTAACTTGCTCCAAGGTGCTGCCCCAATGGGCTCACACTCATATCCACACAAAAACCCCCAGGAGACTGTAGAACACCTTTAGTCCCAATCACCTAAAATTGGGAGCCACCAAGATATCCTTCAAGAAGTGAATGGGTCAGTAAGAAGTGGTACAGCCAATGGAATGTTAAAATAAAAAGAAATGAGCCATCAAGCCATCAAAAGACATGGAAGATATATTTTTTTAATTTTAATTTTCTAAATAATTTTTTAATTAATGACTTTGTTTATTTAAGAGAGAAAGCAGGAGCAGAGGGGAGAAGCAGAGGGAGAGGGAAGCAGACTCCCTGCTGAGCAGGGACCTCCCCCCTGAATCAGGGCTTGATCCCAGGACCCTGGGACCATGACCTGAGCCGAAGGCAGACGCTTAACCAACTGAGCCACCCAGGTACCCCAGACATGGAGGAAATTTAAAGGCACATTGCTAAGTGAAAGAAGCCAGTCTGAAAAGACTACCTACTTTATGATTCCAATTATATGACGTTCTGGAAAAGGCAAAAGTATGGGGATGGTAAAATGATCACTGGTTGCCAGAGGGAGGAAGCAGGGAGGAAGGGTAAACAAAGGGGTGGATCAAGGCGGAGGGTCCCTCAGTGTCCATTTTCCCCTTCTTCTTTCAAAATAGAGTCACAATTGAGCAGACAGCCACCCAAAATGAAGACTATAATTCCCAGCATCCCATGCAGCTAAGTGGGCCATGTGACTGTGTTCTGGCCAATGGGGCATGGATGCAAGTGACGTATGCATCCTCTTAAAGGAAGTAGCGTCCTCTCCTCTTCTGGTTTCCTCCTTGCCGAGTAGAATGGCGAGGCTGTCATGGGCCATCGTGGATCATGTAGACCAGCGATGGTGAAGCCCCAAGGTACAGAAAGCTGGGACTCTAACGTTTCTGTGAGGAAAAATCCTCCTAGCTCAGAATTTTACTTAGAGAAAAATCAACATCTCCCTTATTGAAAGGACTATTATTTGGGGGTTTTGTCACACACAATCAAACCCATGTCCAGACTTATGCAAGGACCTTCAAGGACTGTCCTGAAAGTTCTGTATAAAACAGGCAAGGCATTTTCACACTGTCATTCACTCAACGGATCAAAGCCAGTTTATCGTGCTGGGATCTGGGGATTCAACTAAGAATTAGGTAGATGAGCCCTTGCCCTCATGGACTTCACCTTCTAGGGCAGGAGACAGACCATCAACACGAGAAGGAATGAACTACGATTAGTAACAGTTAACATTTCTTGCATTTCGAGCTTACTATGTGTCTGTCCTATTCTAAGCCTTTTTTCGCCTATAACCTTATTTTATCTTCACCAAAGGTGGGTGCTGTTGCTTCCTTGTTTGACAGACAAGGAAGCTGAGACACAGAAAGGCTGAGGAACCTGCCCAAGGTCACACAGCTAGTAATTGATGGTTTCAGGACTTGAACCCAGGTCTGCTAGACTTTAGAGCCTAAACCCCTGGACTCTCCTGCTAATGACGGGTATGAAAGAGGCCACCGTGATAAAGGACACCAGGGTGCCCTGCTGATGTTTCTCTTAGCAACACTGACAACAGACACAGCCACAGAACCCCATGCTGAACAAGCCTGAACTCCCTTACCTGGGTGGCCGGTGTTGAGAGGTCTGGAAAAGGATCAAACCTGTTTCTAGGTGCCCTAGTCAAAGGTTTCAAGTCACTGTGATGACGGTGTCAGATGGCCTGGCCACTGCCAGCTTGGGCCATCTAGGAGATGCCCACCTGTCGCAGAGAAGCAGATCAGCCATTAACTGCTGGGTTGGGGGCAGACCTCATTGGCTCATGTTGCCCCGGGGGGCTCCTTTCTGTTTGAGATGCTCTCTGGGCCCCAAGGGGGCCACATGGTGGGGCAAAGATGGCAGGAACCTGGGGCCATGCATCAGGATAGAGGTCCCAGCTGAACTTGCCTGGAAACCCGTCTAAAACACAAAGATATGCATATGCCTGTGTGTGTATGCCCTGAATAAAAATACATAAGCATCACACCCACCGTGTCTAGCACAGTGCCCTTTGCAGAGCGGGGAAGCTCGACAAATGTTTCACGGTTTGCTTTGATAGAAAACATAAATGTATATGTTGAAGCAAGTGGGTGGAAACTCCACAGAGTTTGAGTGCATTGGAGGAAAGATCCTTCCTCATGGGAAAATGCATTCTTGGGATGCTCCAGCCGGCCAGACCAATGGCTTCATTTTTCCAATGAGGAAACTGACATCCAGAAACAGGGGTCCCCCCCTGGAATACCCTGGGCACAAGACAGCGTCTGCCGCAAGCTATCAGGTGGGTGGTGGTCACGGATGAGAGCCAAGAATTGTTTCCCGGGTGTATCCAAACCCAGACAAGGAGCAAGAGGTGGTGCCTGCAGTGGCCAGAAGCATGGTCTTTGGAGGCAGGTAGATCATCGCCACATGTTGGGGCCACTTTTTTCCAGAAGTGGACCCAGGTAAGTCAGGGGTCCTCTCAGAGCATCAATCTCCTCGTCTATAAAGCAGGGATAATAATAGCATCTCTCTTCAAGGATGGCAGGCAGTCAAAAATAACTTTCTTAAGTCTGTGAAGCCCACAGCAGAGCCTTCGCTCAATCGATGTTGGAGATGTGACGCAGAGGAGGATACTGTGAGAGCCTGCAGGGGGAGGTGGAGCACTGGACCGGGAGCTGCTCTGTGTCTTTGGCAAGTCTTTAGGCAAAAATCTCTCCATTCTACCAGCCATTCATTCCCTCTCCCCCACCCCCAACCTTGGTCCCCCTTCTCTGCCTCTCCTGGACCAGCATGGGTCCCCAGCCCAGCCTACCAGCCCCTCCCTGCAGGCTGCAAAGGTCCCACCTGCCCATGGGATCCCCACACCCTAGCCCACATTTCAACAGCCAGAAAAATGCAAATGTCATTAGCACACTCTGCGAGCCGGTGAGTGCTAATGTCACCCACTGGGGAGGGTTGAGGGGTGTGGGAGTGAATTTCCCAGGAGGGGTGGCATTCTCGGCTTTTTCCAGAAGGGTAAGATAGAGAAATAAATAAATGGCTGCAGGGAAGAGGGGACGACAGAGACTGCTTGAGCAGTGTGCTATGCAGCGGTGCCTTCCTTGGGGCTCCCCCCACGGTGCCTGTGGTCCTGGCTTCGGCCCCCATCGGGATCATGGCTGTGTCTCAGTCTCTCTGGGCCTCTTCCCCGCACACATTTGATGAAGAGGCTCATCTGGGGGACCCCCAGCTTCCACCTTTCATTCCCACCCCAACCCATGCTCCATCAAACATGCTGAAAGAAGCAGACCACCCACTCAATTAACAGACCCCTGGCAGGGGGTCACTCCCAGGAGGAGGCAGCCGCAGAGGACCTTCCAGCTCCCACCCCAGGATTTGCAGACAAGAGTCATGGGTTCCAGTCCCAATGCCACTCAAACTTGCTGGGAGCACTCAGGTACATACTCTTGTTTGTGGCGCCTTGGTTTTTCCATCTGTGAAAGGGGGTGTTGGGCCCACAGGCAGTCCCTACAATCTCTTGTGGTCAGGTCTAAAGCCCAGTTCTAGTAACTCACAGGTGGAGATACCAATCTAAGCCCCCCCCCCAACTTCCTGATGACAATGTCCCTGAAGACCCCAGCAGACACACTGAGGCTTCCTGGAGGAGGGGGCAGATGGTGTGTGTGTGGAGATGACAGCAGGGTGCTGTGGGCAGTGGGGCAGGGTAAGCAAGGGCATGGAGATACCCAAGTGGGGAGGCTTGAGCCAGGGCTGCCTGTCAGGGCAGAGTGGGAGACGAGATGCAAAGGTCCTGGGGTCAGTGCTTTATGTGCAGTTCCTCATTTAGTCCTCACTGTGCTATCATTCCCATTTTATTCATGAGAAGTGGAGGCTTAAAGCGGTTAAGTAAGTTGGCAGACACATGACTGTTAAATAGCACAGATTAGATTTGACCCACAGCTGATTTAGGAGCAGAAGCTCTTGATCACTGTGGGACACACCCCCCCCCAATCTAGCTGGTTTAAAATAGAATGTGAACTAGAGAAATATAGGATCCTGTGTGTCGTAAACACCCACAGATAAGCTCATAGTGGCACTGGAGGGTGGGCCCCACTGTGGCCTGGGGAGGAAGCTCAGTGTGTGAACGTGTGTACAATGTCAAAGTGTGTGAGCCACCGTCAAGCGCAGCTCCAGCCCGGGGTCTAGGCCTAGCGATGCCAGCTGGGCAGTACATGGCCAGGGGCCATTGGGCCCAGGCAGCCAGAAGGCCTAGGCTATCCCACAGCAGCCCAGGAAGCCCTGTTCTCCAGGATGTGACCTGGCCTGGCCTGAGCCACCTTCCCTGGCTTCCACGTGACCAGAGGCCGATCCCCCTGCTGCCAGGGAGAGGGGCACCTCCTGCCCTTGGCCCACATCTCCTTCGGCTTAGTCTCTCGTCCCAGCCTGGGGAACAGGATGTGCAGACAGAGCCAGACAGGCACACAGGGCCGCCGCCGGCAGGTAGAGAAGCCGGCAGGTGATGGCATCAGCTGGGAGGCCGGCCAGCCAGCCCTGTCTTGCAGCCCCGACCCCGACCCCAGCCATAGGCCGTGTCATCAGGACACGCAACCTGCCTCTCTGAGCCCCAGTGAAAGCCCACTGAGCTGTGGAGATGACCAACTACCTCAGGGAAAGCACATGCAAACTGTAAAGTGCGGAGTCTGCTGATGCGGTTGTGATTTTAATTCCCGTGGCCAAGACAGCCCAGGGAGTCAGAGAGAGTCCCCAGGGAGCGTTGACTGAGAATCCAGCCAACACCTTTATGTATGTCCCCTGTTCCCCTCTCCTGGGTCTCAGTTTCCCCATGTGCCAAACTGAGGATCTTAAGCCCAGATACAGAGTGGTCCACGGCTCCCCGGGGTCTAGCTTCCTCTGCCAGGATTCGCCATTAACAGAGTATCTGGGTTTCATTTGCCAGAAACCAGAAGACCATTCACGCAGCAATCAGCTGAGTACAGGGGGCTTAGGACAGGGACATTGTGATGGGCGATAAGAGGAAAATGGTTGACCTAGAAGGAAAGTGACAAATCTGGGAAGATGGAAGGAAGCTTGCAGGAAAGGAGGGAGGCAGAGCTATTGATGGGTGATAGAACCTGGGCAGGGTCTTTCCCTTGAGTTTGCACTGGCTGGTCCTGGAGGCCACAGAGAAGACACAAGGAGGTCTGTTTCCTGGCGACCACTAGCAACACAAGCACTCATTGAGTACCTGCTATGTACCTGGGACTCCAGGATGACAGAGATGAGCAGGGTTCATCACATAGCTCACATCATACGGTTCAGAGGAAGGAGGGGTCCTTCCCAATGTGGGCCGTGGGGAAGGCTTCCTGGAAGAGGGGGCCGATTTAAATACATGGAGATGAGAGGAGGGTGCTGTGGGCAAAGGGGTCAGGGTGAGCAAAGGCATGGGGGTATCCAAATGTGGGCTGAGTATTCAGGACCATGAGCCAAGGCTGCCTGTTGGGGCGGAGTGGGAGATGAGGCAGGAAGGGAAGGCAGGGGTTGTCTGGGTAAGGTCTTTGAATGCCAGGCCCAGGAAGATGACCTTTGCTAAAGGGTAATGGGGAGCCACCGAAGGTCATAGAGCAGAGGTATGCTCAGGTAGATGAAAAGCAGGAAGGAACCTAGGCAGTTGGAAACGATGGTGAACAGATAGAAGTTCAAGGGGCCCAGGCAGGTCATTTAACCTCTCTGAGGTTCCTTATAGAGAAGGAACCCTCTCTGGTTCCTTCTCTATAAAGTGAAAAACATAAAGCCAGTTCAGAGCGATGGAGGACTCAAACAGATAACACGAGAAGCACTTGGAGTACGGTAAGTGATGGTTGGCTGCTTGCTTTCTAAAATTTAAGCATCGATGGCTTTTATTAATTAGTGGTGCCATTCTCCTGTGAGGACACCAGAGCTCAGAGTCAAGTGACAGGCCACAGCCAGGGGTGCTGGGCCTCAAATCAGCAGAAGCAAGTTATGAGCAAATAAACCTGGGCTGACTCAGAGAAGAGTCTTGATTTTAAAATATTGCTAAGGAAGAGGGCTGCTTTATGACTTTTGCACTGTGTGCTTATTAAACCCGAGCTATAAATGTGAACTAATAAGTAAAATGAGTTAAGTTAATGAAAAAAATCAACCTTCAGGATGAAACCATATTACCTAATGGCAGTCCATAAACATAAACATAAAATTTTAAAATACAAGAATGAATTGCAATGCCCAGCAGCTCGCGGAATCTGCAATATCTCTCTCTGAAAAATAAAAGCTATTGATTTTAGCTTGGGTTCTCATTGCTCATGAGTGAGTCTTTGAGAAGTCATAAAGGAAGGAATTATTTCCAATTGTTTACTCACTAAGGATCCTATGTATTGAATTTAAATCGTCTCCGATTCCTAATTAGTGCAAACCAAATTAGAATCTGAGTACAGAAGAACTGGAAAGGCCCTTGGAGGCCTCTGAGCTCAGTTTTCTTTGTTTTATGGACCTGGAGCCCAAGGGACCGAGAGGGCAAGGGACTTGCCCAAGAACACACAGCAAAAGAGGTAGGAGCCAAGCTAGGACCAGGGCTCCTGGTAGCCAGGTTGACATCTTGCTCTGGTCCATGCAGCCCCTGGGATCAGCTCATTCAATCAGGCTTTTTGGGTGTGCTGGGTGTTATGTTGGCCTCAGCCCAGATGGCTCGTAACCTAGAACTTTCTCCCTGCTGCTAGGAGTACTAAGACCCTGTGGCTACTGTCAGAC